AATTTTCAGATATGGTTGATTTTTTACTCATCGAGTTTCATCAGCTGGGGCGAGGTCCCACTAGCAAAGAGGATTGGAAAAAAAAAAAAAAAAAAAAAAAGCAGCAGCAGCAAAGAGGATTGGATTGAAAGCCTGAATCTGGACGCGTTCGTGGAAAGGTGCACAAACGCGAGATTGAACTGCTTTTCTGCATGTGTGGCTAAAACGCATCCAGATTCAGATGTTCCATCCAATGCTCTTCGCTCGTGGGACCTCGGCCCTGGATTTAAACACGCTCTTGTATTTTCAACAGGTCATGGGTGTTCCCACTGCCGTCTGTGTACTTTTTTTTTCTTTTTTTTTTGGGGCCAGTAATTAAAAAGACGAAGTTTGAAAACGGAAAGAGAAAAGAGAACCGGGAAATTTTAAGCAACAAGAGAAAGAAAGAGCTGAACTGGGCATTCCGAAGCAACAAAAAAAAAAAAAAAAAAAGGGCCTCCCTCCACTGCTCTTGAAATGCACAAAAGACAAAAATCATGGTGGTGTATCTTTCCATGTTCTAGCTGAAGATTCACTCTCATTTTGCACCTTTCGAGAGTAGTGGAGCGAGGCCCAGAGGGGCTTTTTTCAATTTACATGTATTTTTTAACCACCAGTATTTGGCCTAGCTATAGGCCGCAGACAAAAATAGAGTAGACATAGAGTAGACACGTTTCTGGTGCGATGAAATTGGGCGTTCCTGTTGTGGCTCGTTAATGGACACAACATCAGGGGGTACTGGTGGTTTAAGAAAAAGGGGCTCGCCACACAGAGCCTTTCGACCTGGGGCATTTTCCGAAATAGCAAGACGGGATTCGAAATGTGGCGCCCGAGAGAAAAGCCCTCCCTCGCCACATACTTTCGAAACCTTCTTCGAAAGCCGACTTTAGAACCGACCGCGTCAAAAGAAATGGTGGTCCTCAGGTCGAGACCCTGACAGATGGTCGTCAAGACGGCCCTTTTCCACAAGACCCGAGAAGATTACTTTTGAGAATGGCATAGTGACAGGCGGGAGGGGTGTGCCACTTCGAAAAGCGTTTCGAGGCCGCAGGTTGACTGACACCTTTCGACACATTTACACCGACCCTGGGTTCGAAAGGCTGTCAGACGAAGCTGGCTTGTCCATTTTTTTTGTCTCCGAAGGCTGTGTGGCGAGCCGCAAAGAACGTCTCGGAGTTAAGTTATCCGGCTGCCTAGCTCAGTTGGGCATTCAAAAGGTTATGGATTCAATCGTCACAGGTCTCATGTGCCGTACTGGTCAAGCTGGGCGCCCACCACCTAGAGATAGGCCATTGTTTCCCTTGAGGGGCATTGCCCAGAGACTGCTGATGTTCGTACGGTGAGGGGGCTGGAGGGGAGGCGCAGCGACTGGCCCATTCACAAAGCTCGGTCTTCGTGCTAACGGCGGACCCCGAGCTGGTGCCGCCCACCTGCTGTAGCAGGTATTGCACCTGCTGGTGAGTGCAGCTTGTGCATGTTCCCTAGTTGGAGGCTTGAACATGGAAGTGGCATTCTATTTGGGGATGGCCCATTGACAAAGCTTGGTCCTCGTGCTAACGGCGGACCCCCAGCTTGTGACACCCAACCTCACGCCCAGCGCGACTTCCTGATCGGAGTGTGGGTGGGCCTGGAAGTGCGAAAAGGGGTGTGCCAAGGATTTTTGGAAAGTGGGGGTGGAGTCTCAGGTCGGAACTGAGATCTCCTGTGACAAGTTTTAGGGATGCGAATGCAAGAGGAGGATAGGTGCGGATTGGAGTCCTGCTGTAGGCCTGGGAACGAGGGGCTATCGCCTCCAGTGGTTCCATCGTCTGGGTCGGATGCGTATCTGGTGAGCCGTTGGGACGCTATGGCTATCTCGCTGATGGACCAACTGTCGGCTATGTGTCTTTTTAACGGGTAACGGAGGAATTAAACTCCTGTTGACTCCCTATGACGCCCTAACCTCACGCCCAGCGCGACTTCCTGATCGGAGTGGGATGTGGGCCTGGAAGTGCGAAAAGGGGTGTGCCAAGGATTTTTGGGGAAAGTGGGGGTGGAGTCCYAGGTCRGAACTGAGATCTCCTGCGGCAAGGGTTCAGGGGCATAGGTGCAATAGGGCTAAGGGGCAGGTTGCTTCCGGTCTGATGGCGGTTGACGTCGTGTAGTCATAAGGCAGATGGCATGCGCGGGGCATCAAGGGACGTCCGATCCGCCTGTTCTGGGTGACGGCGGTTCGGGAGAGGCCCGCTCACGAGGGTCGCGATCCCTATGAGTCGGACCTTCGGGTGCCGACACGTGGCACCTGTCGCCGCGCGTTACGGTTGGGTTCCAAAGTCCCTGGGGTTCGGCGGTGTTCGTGTCGTCTGCAGTTTCTGCACGGCGTGCGGGGCCAATACGAGGCGATGGAATTCCACGGTGCCACAGTGAGTTGGTGATACGGGAGGAGGAGACGGAAGGGAGGGGAACTGGTAGTGATAACGACGAAGTCGGGGGATATGAAGTATTGTGTGTTATACGTAGTGGGGTAATCAGGGCACCTTGAATCACTGGTTAAGGCACAACGAAACTCTCTGGGGCATAACCGGTTCTCGGTTAGGCAGGGAAATTCTGGGCGTCTCTGCCTAAGGTATTCTCGTACCCAAGGTTCGAAGTACTCTGAGGCCCTTGTGACCGTCATCTTGTCATTGCGGCGTAGTGGAAGCCTTCCGCACGTATCTAGGGGGATTTCCTGATATGGTATCGGAAATTCCTAGCAGCATAGGTGCGTGAGAGAAGGAAAATTTCCCCGTCTACCGGAGGTGCCCGGTTCGTTAATGATTGCGAATCGTTGCGCGTGGATACGTGTAGGCTGCGCAGATTAGATCGTGCTTACACGTATCCCTGCGGGGTGTTCGCTTGTACCCGAAAAAGGTGAGGGTTTAACTCTTTATGCAAAATCGCCACGTGTCATGGATGACTACCCAATCATCTAATCACTCAGTGATCTCACAAGCAATCGTTTCCGAGCATGCAAGGTGTCATTACACATTAGACATCACAACAACATCAGAACTTCCTACTAGCCACGGATCAAAGTGACACGCAATGATGATGATTAGGCAAAAACGACAAACAGATCATTCATTCATCACAAAGCAACATCCATGCAATCAAACACTCAGTAGGAAGGATTACAACTAATTACAGGCAGACACAGGCCGAAGCCGAGACACGAATGCCGAAAGCAAAAGACCGGCGAATCACCAGAAGCAGAGATCAAAAATTTATTTACACAAGTTGGGAGGAAAAGACATAGAAAATTGCAAATCCACGTCCATCAACCTCAACTCTCTCTATCTCTCTCCCTCTCTCTCTCTCTCCGATGTGGACAGTCCGTCGTCACGCACCAACCTACGAAGTCGTCATTCCGTTTAGTCCTCCTGCACCCGTCAGGTTCGCCCGCGCGCTACAGTCCGTCGTAGCCCCACGTGTCAACCCCGCGCATTCGGCACCAGCTCGTCGGGTCGCCCGACTCCCACTTCAACTCACCTCTTACTTCGCTCGTGAGCCGACCCTCACTTATCGCGCTACCCCGAGCTTCCAACAGCTGGTTAAGAGAGCTATCTAATCGCGCAACCATAATTTATAGTGTGCATGCATGCGCGAAGAACGCGGAATTGCAAGGACTTAGAACGGAGTTCAGGGGAGAGAACACCTGCGTTTTGCATGGCCAGATCGCGGCGTGGGGGACGCGGCCACTCTCCACGCATCGATCCGATCATGCAGCCCGCAGGCTAGACATCCGCGGCAAGAGGAAAGGAGAGGGCGGGAAGGATGAAGGTCAAGAAGAAAGATACAGTTACAATGGCGCCCGCCCAAAGATTACAGTTACTTGCAAGATTAAGGGCAAGATTAAGGGCGTTGATTAATCAGAGCTCCGTTGCAACCACAAAAAGAAGTGCGCACGAAAGACAACGTGCGGCAAAAGAAATCCCGAATTCCTAAATTCCTAAACTTATTGCGAAAAGAAGTTATAATAAAATGCAAATTCCGAAAAGAAAGTCCGAAATTTCGAGAGCCATCAAGGGCTCGAAAAGATTCGAAAAAGAAATTAAAAAAAAAGCAAAACTTCCCGCGCGACCTCCACGCCTAAAACCCGACAACAGAACAAGAAAGAAGCGACGTCAAACATCATTAATCGCGCCTTTGTCGGCGCGACAGCCACTCAATCGGCCATCTTGGGACTTGCCCGACCCTGAACCCAGCCATTCGAAAAGAAGCGACGGAAAAGAAAAGACGAAGAAGCAAGGACACCGATGCAACTTCCCTTCGATCCCGATCTCTTGTAGTTGGCCCATCCTTCCCATCTCAGGACCCCTTATTGTCATCGCGCAGAAAATCGCACGGAACAAAAATTGGTTCGTCACATATGTGACACCTAGGGGGTTCCAATCTTAAGTAAGCTCCTGCTTGCTTGAATCATGACACGTGTCCATGTCTCTAATATTGCCACTTACCGTTCGACAAGAGTGGGGACGTCATCAAGGGTGGCACACGTGGCTCTATCCTACAATTTCCTCAGGATGGGCTCTCTTCAGTCCAAGGAGGGGATCGTGCGTGTCATCGTCGTGGCACGTGTCAATCAACCGTGCATCAATGGCCTAAGGGAAGGGGGAAGGGAAGACGATGCATGGGGACATTAGTCGCGACTGTCACCGGAAGCTCCTGATATCGGATGATCCGGTGGAAGCGAGGGAATCGATGACCACTATGAGGAAGGGATGCGAGATAGTCGGGGTAGAGGGTGGTGAAAGTTCGGAGAAGTGCCGTGCGGAAGTGTTCGTGCTTTTTGCATACGGGGATAGTCCCGTGATCATGTAGTAAACCTCGACGATGTTGTGGCCTCGCCACGTGGCACTGAAGAGAAGGGCATGGAGACAGAAGACAGGGGTGGCACACCGGGTAGAGGGATGGGGATGAACCGTGACAACAAGACAGGTGGCGTAGAAGAAGCGGAAGGTGTCGATTGGGAAGGGATTGCAGGGGAAGGTGATGCGGGTAGTGATCTGGTGGAGGGTGAGGTGGTCAAGGAGACGACGGGATAAGGACCGGGGATGAAGCCCGATGCTCTGCATCGGTATGAGCTCGAACTGGTGGACGGGCGGAGGTGGAGGGGGAGGGGGATCGGCTTCGTCGTCGTCGGGCCGGTGCGCTCGAAGTCTCGGCAGCAAGGTCCCCATCGTCGTTCTTAGGTGGCTCAGGATCCTTGGCTGGGCCGTTCGGGATCGGCAAATCCACTCCACTTGCGAACTTCAGCGGCTGCTTCCCGGCTACGATCTCCTCTCTCCTTCGCGCCGCCTCGGGATCCTCCTCATGAGCCTCTGCACGATCCGCCTCGTCACCCAAAGCCTTCCACTCAGATTCCCCCTCTTCCTCCAACTGATCGTCTTCTTCTTCTTCACCTCCCGACTCTTCCTCGATGTATTCGTTGTAGCTCCCTGCTTCTTTCGAGGTTTCCTCTTCTTCCTCCTTGTCTCCTTTCTCTACGCCCTCTTCTTCTTCCTCCTCTAGCGTTAGCCCTTCGTCTTCGGAGACCGTTGGAGGTTGAACGAAGGCGAGGTCGATTATCCTCCGCGGGTCCAGGTACTCTCGTTGCGATGGCGGGTTGCTGTTACCTCCATGCTCCTCGAGGCAGGCCGACCATTGTAGGTAGGGTGTCAGAGTTCGCGAAAGGACGTGCGGGACCGGGCTCTCGTCGCACTGCGAAACGATATCAAGAGGGAGATCGCCGACCAGCTGCGCGAGAGGATCGTGAGTTCCTGTACGATCAGCTGTCGATGGTCGGGCCGCACCGATCCGGATAGAAATCCGAGAAGGTCTCCTTCCACCTCCGTTCTCCAAGCTTGGATGATCAGCAGCTCCACATATTCGGTCCAGGCGCGGTGCTCTATGTCCCTCGTCCATGTCAGCTGCACCCCGACCAGACACACCGAAAGATCGACGAAGTGCTCGCACCACAGTTCCCACTGTCTTTGATCGAGGAGGGGAACAACGAGTGATTCCAGACGAAAGGAGAGACGGGGGCAAATGTCAGACTGCCAGAAGGTAGGGAAGAGAGATGGGAGAGTGAAGGTAGAGAGCTGGGAGAGCGAAGGTAGAGAGTTGGGAGCGGCTCATTGAGGACGCTGGAAGGGAACGAGCTCCGGAAGCACCACCGCCGGCTCGTGCCGAGACGTTCGGAGCTTTCCGACGTCGATGTCGTCCGTGGGGACAAGATTATCGCCACGACACGTAAGCCACTGATTCCACTCCGCTGCCAACTGCTGGCCCCACTCCCTTAGCGATGTCCGGATGGCCGTGTGTCATAGAGGGCTGATCGCGCTAATGTCACCGCCGAAAATGACGACGGTAGACACGTGGCTAACTCCTGGTGCGGACAACCATCGAACCGCCGTCGCCTCTGCCAATACGATCGCTTGACGATGGCCCGTGAATCGGAACTCCGCCGCCTCGTACACCCCGGTAGTGCTGAAGAACTGCGCGAGCCGTAGAAGGTCTGGACTGAATCGCGGGTGATGAACTTGCCGAATTGCCGAAATATCGCCACGTGGCGCCAACATGTGATCGCCGAGAGCCCGCTCAGTGAGAAAACTCATAACGATGGCGACGAGGACGGAGTAAGAGAAGCAGGAGGGGATGAGAGCGATAAGGAATCGTCGTCCTCCTCTGTAGCGAAGGAGGCAGCAGACACAGCTGGAGATGGAGAGAAAGGGAGAAGACGTAGGTAGGACACGTGGTGGACGATCGGTCGAGCCGATCAGCTTCCCGAGACCTCCGACACGAGGCGCACGGTGTTCACTCCGTTCGGGCCGAGTTCGATCACACAAAATCGCCCGAAGAATCGTGGCGCTATCTTCCCCTGACGAGCACATTTCCTCACTTGCACCAGGGCCCCTAATTTATACTGGGGCCATGGTCCTGCGTTCCCATTTCTTGGCTCGTAGCTACGGACCTGTCGGCCGTGAGCCAACTCAGTCATTTTCTAGCGCTTTCGGGCTAATCGGAGAAGGGACTGTTCCATTAGCTCCTTGTGCCGCTTGGCCTTGTCCCGAACCGTGGCCCTTGTGGGCCGTCGGTTCAATGAAGATTCATCGGAGAGGCTCGATATCGAGACATAAACTACGCTATTGGTTCGTAATTGGAAGGGGCTAAGGCCTGTCGATTCTTGAGGCGTTCCTCGATGGACCCCCAGGATGTGATCTACAATATCAGGCCAGGGCCTCGGGTCCTGTGCCGTGATATTTCGTCGCAATGTTGTCTTTATCACCCGATTTGCGTTTTCTTCCAGGCCGTTAGACTGTGACATGTGGGGTGCACTGTTCCGAATGGCGACGCCTTGTATGACCAGATTCCTTAAAACTTCGGCTCTGAATTCTACTCCATTATCGGTCAGGATTTACTCTGTGTCTTGATGCATCCCTAGGAACCGGTTGACATATCTCGCGATTTCAACTGCCTGTCGCGTACGACATGGATATGCCTCGACCCATTTCGAGAAGTGGTCTACAAAAACCAGTAGGATTGAATATTCGCAGGTCCAAGGGGCACCGCAATATCGGTAGTATCCATGCTACCCTTTGAAAAGGTCGTTCGACTACCGTTGGCACTATCGATCTTGGTGGCTGAATCGACGCTTTGTCAGCGGCGCAGACCTGACAGTTCACGACGATGAATTTCACATCCTCACGAATATTGGACCAATACCATTCATTCTTGTCGATTGCCGCTTCTGTGATCCGTACGGCAAAATGGGCTGCAGTTTCCTCATGCGCCGTCTTAACCCAGTCATACCTCATGAACGGGTGTGACACTACTATCCAAATCCCACTACCATCCGTCTTTCGTGCGGGGATATTCACCTGCACCTCGTTGTCATCATACTGCTGAGCTCGGAGCGTGACCAGTCATGCTTTAGTGAGATGATGTGCAGGGTTGAATAGATAAAGATCGGGTGACGTCATGGAAGCCCGTGCTCGTGGTGGAGGTTGATTAGGATTGTGTTGTGGATTCGGATTCTGTTGGGGGTTTTGTTGATTAGTGTTCATGTTGACCGCCCTTAGAGCCGCAGACGGGTTTCTGGTGACAACGAGATCACGTCGATGCACGTTTCGTGGTCGAGGTCGTCCTCTATTAGCCAGATCGCCCAGCTATGAATCCTAGAACCTTGCCACGTGTCGGGCTCCAATACCAACCTCACGCCCGACGTGACTTCCTGATCAGAGTGGGATGTGGGCCTGGAAGTGCGAAAAGGGGTGTGCCAAGGATTTTTGGGGAAAGTGGGGGTGGAGTCCTAGGTCAGAACTGAGATCTCCTGCGGCAAGGGTTCAGGGGCATAGGTGCAATAGGGCTAAGGGGCGGGTTGCTTCCGGTCTGATGGCGGTTGACGTCGTGTAGTCATAAGGCAGATGGCATGCGCGGGGCATCAAGGGCCGTCCGATCCGTCTGTTTTGGGTGACGGCGGTTCGTGAGAGGCCCGTTCGCGAGGGTCGCGATTCCTATGAGTCGGACCTTCGGGTACAGACACGTGGCACCTGTCGCCGCGCGTTACGGTTGGGTTCCAAAGTCCCGGGGGTTCGGCGGTGTCCGTGTCGTCTGCAGTTTCTGCACGGCGTGCGGGGCCAATACGGGCCGATGGAATTCCACAGTACCACCGTGAGTTGGTGATACGTGAGGAGGAGACGGAAGGGAGGGAAATTGGTAGTGATAACGACGAAGCCGGGGGATATGAAGTATTGTGTGTTATACGTAGTGGGGTAATCGGGGCACCTTGGATCACTGGTTACGGCACAACAAAACTCTCTGGGGCACAACCGGTTCTCGGTTAGGCAGGGAAATTATGAGCGTCTCTGCCTAAGGTATTCTCTTACCCAAGGTTCGAAGTACTCTGAGGCCCCTGTGTCCGTCATCTTGTCATTGCGGCATAGTGGAAGCCTTTCGCACGTATCTAAGGGGATTTCCCGATATGGTATCGGAAATTCCTACCAGCATAGGTGCGTGAGAGAAGGAAAATTTCCCCGCCTACCGGAGGTGCTAGGTTCGTTAATGATTGCGAATCGTTGCGCGTGGATATGTGTAGGCTGCGCAGATTAGATCACGCTTACACGTATCCGTGCGGGGTGTTCGATTGTACCCGAAAAAGGTGAGAGTTTAACTCTTCATGCAAAATTGCCACGTGTCATGGACGACTACCCAATCATCTAATCACTCAGTGATCTCACAAGCAATCTTTTCCGAGCATGCAAGGTGTCATTACACACTAGACATCACAACAACATCAAAACTTCCTACTAACAGCGGATCAAAGTGACACGCAAATGACAAACATATCATTCATTCATCGCAAAGCAACATCCATGCAATCAAACACTAAGTAGGAAGGATTACAACTAATTACAGGCAGACACAGGCCGAAGTCGAGACACGAATGCCGAAAGCAAAAGACGGGCGAATCACCAGAAGTCGAGATCAAAATTTATTTACACAAGTTGGGAGGACAAGACAAAGAAAATTGCAAATCCACGTCCATCAACGTCAACTCTCTCTCTTCCTCTCTCTCTCTCTCCCTCTCTCTCTCTCCGATGCGGACAGTCCGTCGTCACGCACCAACCCACGAAGTCGTCACCCCGCTTAGTCCTCCTGCACCCGTTAGGTTTGCCCGCGCGCTACAGTCCATCCTAGCTCCACGCGTCAACCCCGCGCATTTGACACCAGCTCGTCGGGTCGCCCGACTCCCACTTCAACTCACCTCTTACTTCGGTCGTGAGCCGACCCTCACTGATCACACTACCCCGAGCTTCCAACAGCTGGTTAAGAGAGCTATCTAATCGCGCAACCATAATTTATAGTGTGCATGCATGCGCGAAGAACACGGAAGTGCAAGGACTTAGAAGGGAGTTTAGGGGAGAGAGCACCAGGGTTCTGCATGGCCAGATGGCGGCGTGGGGGACGTAGCCACTCTCCACGCATCGATCCGATCATGCAGCCCGGGGGCTAGACATCCGAGGCAAGAGGAAAGGAGAGGGCGGGAAGGATGAAGCTCAAGAAGAAAGATACAGTTACAATGGCGCCTGCCCAAAAATTACAGTTACTTGCAAGATTAAGGGCGCCGACTAATCAGAGCTCCGTATCAACCGCAAAAAGAAGCGCGCAAGAAAGACAACGCGCGCGGCAAAAAAAATCACGAATTCGTAAATTCATAAATTCCTAAACTTATTGCAAAAAGAAGTTTAATAAAACGCAAATTCCGAAAAGAAAGTATGAAATTATGAGAGCCATCAAGGGTTCGACAAATTTCGAAAAAGAAATTCAAAAATAAGCAAAACTTCCCGCGCGACCTCCGCGCCTAAAACCCGACAACAGAACAAGAAAGAAGCGACGTCAAATCGCGCGTTTGTCGGCGCGACAGCCACTCAATCGGCCATCTCGGGACTTGCCCAGCCCTAAACCCAGCCATTCGAAAAGAAGCGACGAAAAAGAAAAGACGAAGAAGTGAGGACACAGATGCAATTTCCCTTCGATCCCGATCTCCCGTAGTTGGCCCATCCTTCCCATCTCAGGACCCCTCATTGTCATCTCGCAGAAAATCGCGTGGAGCAGAAATTGGTTCGTCACATCTCGTTGAATTCCCCTTAAACGCGAAAATGGGCCGCTCCCGCGCTTTTCGGAAAAACGAAATTGATGCGCAGGGTCCGGAACACGTGGCCCTAGGCAAAAAAATAAAAATAAAAAAAATTCCCCCAACCCCTGAAGCACCTCTTATACCACCGAATTAGACCAACACCGATTGGCCTGCCACTCACCACTAACCAACCCCCCGGCACCAGTCCCCAAACCTACCCGGAAACCCTGTAAGCCATCTGCCCCCACATCCCCCAATCCCCAAGGCCCCAGTTATGTGTGTGCAGGGGTGAGGTCCTATTAGCAGTTGGATAGGAGTGTGGCCGATCCAGTGTGGCACTGAGTGGCAGCGGCCTGACAGGTTCATTACAAATTTCTGGGCTGAGAAAACAGAAGAAAAAAAAAAAA